TCTGAAATACAAAAGGATTTGAGAGTCCTAGTTCAGGATTCTCTTGAGATTAACATGCAGATTCAGTTTGCAATGAAGAAAGCAAATGCAATGTTGGCACTCATTTCAAGAGGGCTGGAATACATGAGCAGAGATGTGCTGCTGAGGCTGTATAAGGCTCTGGTCAGACCATATTTGGAATATTGAGCCATTCTGGGCCCTGTATCTAAGGAAGGATGTGTTGGCATTGGAGGATCCAGAGGAGGATTTTAAGAATGATCTTAGGGATGAAGGACTTGTTGTATGAGAAGTGGTTGAGGACTCTAGGTGTGTACTCAATGGAGCTTAGAAGGATGGGGGGTGCGGGCAGGGGAACCTCATTGAAACTTACAGAATACTGAGAGGCCTGGATAAAGTGGACATGGAGAAGATTTTTCCACCAGTAGGAAAGACTACAACTTGAGGGGACAACACTTTAGAACTGAGAAGAGGAGGAGTTCCTTCAGCCAGAGGGTATTGAATTTGTAGAACTCATTGCTGCAGAAAACTGTGGAGGCCAAGTCATTAAGACAGAGATAGATAGGTTCTTGCTTGATATGGGGATCAAGGGTTACGGAGAGAAGGCAGGAGAATGGGGGTTGAGAAACATATCAGCCAAGATCAAATACTGGCGCAGACTCGTTGGGCCAAATGGTCTAATTCTACTCATATCTTGTGTATCTAATGAGCAGGCAACACACCATGTGGGACTCTCCAATCCTGTTTAAAAGGATATATCTGTACCTCTAATTACAGAATTCCCTACTACTACCACTTTTCTTTTTGCTCTCTCCACTTGAATGATCTCCTGCATCACGGTGCAGTGATCAGTTTACCCATCTTCCCTGAAGTCGTTTCTCCCATCCACACAGGGACCAGGTATATCATACCGGTTGACCTGGCCAAAAACTGAGGCTCCTCCAATGCTAAATTCAGGATGCCTCTAAACTGCCTCACTTGTTGTCACATCCTCCTCTCCCTACCACTGGCCAAATTTGAAGTACTTAATCTACAAGATGTGATTGCCTCCTGAAACAAAGTGTCTGTCTCTCCTAGATGTGTCACAATGTTTGAAGCTCAGACTTCAGTTCATCAACTCTGAGCCGAGTTCCTCAAATAACCAACACTTGCTACAGATGCGTGTCACTATGAACCACAACAGGGTCCACCAACCCCCACAACATCACCTGGCCCTGCATCTCCAAATTATTTAATTTGTTTTTAAGTTGTATTTTTGAATTTCCTATTGGCTTTTAGCTTTTAATCTGTAAAATATTCCTCTAATTTATGTTTAATCTGAAAGGAATTTAGGTCTCTTAGGTATTTAAATTAGCAGTTACTTCCCAACCAATGAATTTATTGCATTTCGTTTGATATCACAAGCCCCACCCCACTGTTTCCGATCCCTGAGTCTCTTTGTGAAGAAGGGTCTAGACCCAAAACACCAGCTTTCCTGCTCCTCTGATGCTGCTTGGCCTGCTGTGTTCATCCAGCTCTACACCTTGTTATCTCTCTTTCCCCACCGCCTTCTTTCTCTTTCTCTGGGCTCCTGGCTAAATGTGTAGGCCTTGAGCCTTTGTCTCAAATTTAAATTTCCCACTTAGTTTTAGTGTCCTCCCCCACCGACTCCTCTTTCTCCTTATGTCCCAGATTCCTTAAGACGTTACTTGGATAATAAAGAGCAGACGTACTCACCAATGAGAGGAAAGGAGGGGCTAATAAGCTCCTCCAATCACACTCTAATACAACAAAGCAGTACTCGAGTCCAGCAATAAAGAAATCTTTCTCTTGTGGTCCCTAACTCAAAGGCTGCTGGAACTGGATTAAATCAAGTGTCTCATGCTTGTTTGTTCTTCATGTGAGAAGACTGTACAAAACTGCTTTAGTAACGGTGTATGTACATAAAGAGTTATGGATAAAGTATATTTTTGCAAGAAAATAGGCTGTCTAATTAACTAGTTTCAGCTGATAAGAAAAAGCTACTATTAAGCTGCACCCAATCAAAAGAGCAACTTTTAGTTAATTACTAAATCAAAGATCAGACTAGACTTCAGATTTAAATTAGCCCTTAAATTATTCTTTAACTCTAATTACACTCCAGTGCAACAAAGCAGCAGTCTAGTGCAGACCTGCTGAAACTCTTGCTTCGCCTTACCGCAACGGACTGTATACCCTGATACCTACTGGCTGTATTGTTTGGGTTTGAATTACCATACCAAATTACGCCCACAGCAAAGAAGGCCCCCAAGAGACAATAGTTTTTAGTGATGTAATCATACAGGAGGCAGTGTTAATGCTTTATTATTAATTTAGTAATGGAAATCAGGTGCTATATTCTCCCCAGAGATAGTAGGAATTGCCGATGCTGGAGAATCTGAGATAACAAGGTGTAGAGCTGGATGAACACAGCAGGCCAGGCAGCATCAGATGAGCAGGAAAGCTGACGTTTCGGGCCTAGACCCTTCTTCAGAAATGGGGGAGGGGAAGGGGATTCTAAAATAAACAGAGAGAGAGAGGGGAGGCGGATGGAAGGTAGATAAAGGAGCAGATAGGTGGAGAGGAGACGAACAGGTCAAGGAGGCGGGGATGGAGCCAGTAAAGGCTTGGGGCAGCTGCTGCCAAGGTGCAGTGGGGAAAGACCACCACTTAGGGTCTTTCTGTCAAGGTACAATAGGGGTCCGTTAAATTATCAGACCCTCTCAATGCCTCGACTGTGTGTAAATATTGTCCTGTATAAGTAAGAAAGGCCTTGGGTTTGTTTTTGCAATGGCAGACTGTGCCAAATTCAAATGTTTGTTTGTTATTCATGTGCAAAGGCTGTACAGAAATGCTTCAGTAACTGTGCATGTATATAAAGATTTTTTATGAATAAAGTACATTTTTGCACGCCCACATTCAGAGTAAGAATTTTTAAAAATTAGAATTTGCAGCAGCGTGAAGCTACTCCTCCTAATTTCCAAAGTACATCAATTGAATGTCTGATACTTTAGAGTGTTTACAGTACACCACTCGTGTTTGGGCTTTCAGTTTCTTTTTTACATTAGATAGTACAAAAACAAACTGCAGCTGGAGGAAAGTTAACAAGGACACATGTCTGGTGACCCTGATATCAGTGCCTATTGGAACCATGACTGTGGTGATGTTCCATTGTTTGAGCTGGTGCTGAGCAGCAGTCACTCCCCTGCCCCTCACTTGCCTAAATGACGATACCGTATTTAAATTATTATACTCCCAGGGTCTCTACATTTCTGCACTCGCTTTAACATAGTACCATTGATTTATATTGCCTCTCTGCATTCTAAAACCTTCACACTTGCCAGTGTGAATTTCAATTGCCACAGAGCTGCCCATTTCAATCCATCTTGTGTTCTCTTGAATCCTTCACAACTGTCCTCATTGTTCAGTACATTTCTGAGTTTTGTGCAATCCAACACTGAAATCATGCTCAGTATACCAAAGTCCAAATCATTCACATATTTAAAAAAAAACAAACCTTCTTTACAGTACTCTCAATTGTTGGTGCTCCCTTTCTCACACATATCACAGAATGACTATAGTGCAGATAAAGCCCATTTGGCTCATCAAGACTGGACTGACCCTCCAAAGAGCATCCCACCCAGACCCTGCTCTCCCACCCTATCCCCATAACTCCACCTCTAACATGGCCAATCCACCTAACCTGCACATCTTTAGACTGTGGGACAAAATTGGAGCACCTGGTGGAAACCCATGCAGACAAGGGGAGAACATGTAAACTCAACACGGACAGTCACCCAAAGCCAGGTCCCTGGCGCTGTGAGGCAGCAGTGCTAACCACTGTACCACCGTGCTGACTTCCTCGGTTATTGGGAATACTCCTCTTTCTCTCCCCTTCTGTCTTTCCTTTTCTTTCTCATTGTGCACCTCCCATCTCCCACTGCCACACACCCACCTCTCTCTCTCTCTGCTACACATCATTCTGAGTCGTGCTCTCTCTATTGAAAATACTCCAACTCCCCACTCTGCTCTTTTTGAAAAGCCCTGTCTCTAAATGGGAGTATCCCTATCTCTGCTGTGTCCTTGCCAAGTGTGAACAATGATATTCCACCTGTTATACCATTCCCCACCCTGTGTCGGAATGTGTTGATAGATCAACTGAAATATTTCTGCTTGGTTGCATCCGACACATTCTCTCACAGGTAATAAGTGACTGAACAAGTTTGGTGTCTACATAGTGAAGTGTGGGGGAGGGAGGAGATTGCAGGGGAAAACAAAACTTGAAAAGGAGAGTAAACATGTAAGCTGATACGTTGCAAATTCCTGACACAAGTAACGCAGCTGGTGTAAAAATGTATCATCCCCTTTAAACTCCGCAGGGTAGATCAATGGAAACATTAAGAGTTGTTGCATTGGGAGCTGTCAGAAGTTACTCATGTACTCTGAGAGAAACGTGGAGGCTCTGATAAGACTGAAGAAGCAAGTGACAAAAAGAGAATCCAAACGCAAAGATGTTTAAATATACTCATCCTTGGCAGGCACTTTGTCAAACAATAGACCAAAGGAGTAAGGTAAGAATTTAGAGGATTAATTCTTTCAATCTTGTACTGATTCTCTTTTGTATAATATTCCATTTCTGATGAGATTATAAATTTAACAGTAACATTTCTAGTCAACCATGTCATTCATGAAATGTTGAAGAATATAGGCTATTTTCAATGTCCTGATCAATCTTTCGACCACACATCCACTCCAAAGACTCTCTATATCCATCACTCTAACAATGCCTGCCTCACCTCATCTATTACTGAACCCTTAAGAATGTTTTTGTTACCTCTAGGCATGATTGTTTCAACTTAATTCCTGGCTCTTTTATATTATACCCTCCATGAAGTTGTGATCATCCAAAACCAACTCGCACAAAATCCTGTTTCCCCATCACTGACATTGGCTCTAGCTTGTTTAAATATCTTCTTCTTTGGTTTCAAATCCCTTCATGTCCTTACCCTTTCTCTGTAATCTCATCCAGCTCCATTATCCTCTCAACCATCCGCATTCCTCCAATTCTAGCTTCTTCAGCATCCCTGATTTCAGTCACTCTACTATTAGTGACTGTGCCTTCAGCTGTCAAGATCCTATATTTTGGAATTTCCTTTCTTAAAATCTCCACCTCTTTAGCTCTCTTTTCTCAAACACTCCTCTTTAGCCAAGTTTTTGATTATCTGCTCTACTAACTTCTTGTGTGACTCAGCATCATATTTTAATTTACATTTCCTACTACAGTTTGGGATATTTTGTTATGTTTAAGGTGCTATATAATTTAAGATGTTATTGATGGCTGTGAAAACAGCAACTCATGCATTTTATGGACTAGGTGAGAAGCTGAGTTTCTGTTCAAGGCTGAAATTCCCACTCTGCAGTGAGACAATGCGTGAAATTCTGCCTTTGGCTTTGGTAAGACCTTAAGAAAATAAGTTCATGATCTCCCTAAGGGGAGGATCATGTACTTATGCAGAGCTAAAACATTTGAAATGTAGTCACTCATGTCGTGTAGACAAGGATGGCATGTTATTTGTGAACATTACCATTACTCAGGGCCACTAGAAATTGAAATAAATCTGAACTTTTCAATGTCACCCATGTTCAAGAACAAATTAAAGTAAATGACCCAACAACATTTCTTTTTGCGTGGAGTATATCATTAAGAAAGCAACAGTGAAAGAAAACTCTTAAGGAGAACTCCCTCCTGTTCTTTCATTAAGTCATGGGTCTTTGTTTCCACCTTGATGTAAAGTGCAGGGTAAAGGTTAGCACCTCCTGTAGGTAGCACTGCTTCTCAAATGCACTGTAGTATCATGCTGCCTTGTGTGTATTACCCTATCATGTGGGGCTTGAACCCAAAATTTCCTGATTAAAAAGGAGTGCAGTTCTTCCACAAACTGCTTGGGTAGTTTAACAGGATTCAAGAAGTGTACAATTTCCAGTGTGGCTCCTCACTGAGATTGCAAGCTCCTAACATTAGAATCCCTGCACTGTGGAAACAGGCCATTCAGCCCAACAAGTCCACACTGCCCCTCTGAAGAGCATCCCACCCAGACCCATAATCCTACCCTGATTTCCCATCTCTAACCCACCTAACCTAAACATTCCTGGGCACTACGAGCAATTTAGCATGGCCAATCCACCTACCCTGCACATCTGTGGACTGTGGGAGGAAACCAGAGCACCCAGAGGAACCCCACGCAGACACAGGGAGAATGTGCAAACTGCGCACAGTCACCTGAGGTTGGAACTGAACCCGGGTACCTGGCGCTGTGAGGCAGCAGTGCTAACCACTGAGCCACCTTGTGCCAACATTAGTCCAAATAAAATGGCAACCATGAGCAGCTCCTCTGAATGAGCATAGAGGCAATGAAAATATGCACTGACCTATTGGAGGAATCACATTAGTATTGTATGAGGAACATTACAGGATGTGGGCCAGAGTGGATAGATTGCATTTATCAACCATAGCAGGAGATGGGAGGTACATGTAAATTCAGATCAGTCTATCCTGGTTGGGATACAGGTTCACTTTCGTGAAGTGATGTCAGAGAATTGATCGCGTTTAAACAATAAGCAATGCTTCATAGATATTGTCTGGTGCTTTACTAGGTTTATCAATTTCAGTTTCACAATTTGCCCTGGTGGAGGTGGCAATCTCACTGTGGAAGAAGGGTCATTGTAAACTAACATGCCCAACGGGAGATGTCATTGGATCAGCCCCCAAATGATTCTACTCCCTTTCGCCACTATCTCAACCTGCCAGGTTGTTCACAACATCAATTTTCCATTTGCCCCTGAATTAATATTTCAACCTCCATTCTCTACATCGCAAATAATGGCCACTTTCGGTTTTGTTACATTGCATGTCATTGCTCTGACTCAGCTAATTGGCTTTACTCAAAAGCTGAAGCTGGAGTATTGCGTACAGTTCTGGTCACCGCATTATAGGAAGGATGTGGAAGCATTGGAAAGGGTGCAGAGGAGATTTACCAGGATGTTGCCTGGTATGGAGGGAAGGTCTTATGAGGAAAGGCTGAGGGTTTTGAGGCTGTTTTCGTTAGAGAGAAGAAGGTTAAGAGGTGACTTGATAGAGACATACAAGATGATCAGAGGATTAGATAGGGTGGACAGTGGGAGCCTTTTTCCTTGGATGGTGATGGCTAGCACGAGGGGACATAGCTTTAAATTGAGGGGTGATAGATATAAGACAGATGTCAGAGGTAGGTTCTTTACTCAGAGAGTAGTAAGGGCGTGGAATGCCCTGCCTGCAAAAATAGTAGACTCGCCCACTTTAAGGGCATTTAAATGGTCATTGGATAAACATATGGATGATAATGGAATAGTTTAGGTTAGATGGGCTTCAGATTGGTTTCACAGGTCGGCGCAACATCGAGGGCCGAAGGGCCTGTACTGCGCTGTAATGTTCTATGTTCTATGTTCTATGAAGAGGATGCTGACAAAATATCACTAGAAGCAGAGATAGCTGATGGGTTAAAAATTGATAAGGAGGATTCAGTGGAAAGGCTGGCCATGCTTAGCAGACGTAAGTAATCTGATCCTCCTAGGTTGCAAAAGGAAGTTGGAATGGAGATAATGGGAGGGCTTAAATGCCATAATCTTCCACACAGACCAATCTGACCTATTCCCATTTGCCAGCATTTGGCAATATCTCTAAACCCATCATATTTGTGTGCCCATCCAGATGCCTTTTAAATTATACCCGCCTCCACCAGTTTGTTGCATACATGCACCACTCTCTGTGTGAAAAATTTGCCCCTCAGATCCCTTTTAGATATTTCCCCTCTCACCTTAAACCTATGCCCTTTAATTTTGGGCTCCCCCAACTGAGAAAAAAGACCTTAGCTATTCACCCTATCCATGACGCTGATGATTTTATAAACCTTTATAAGGTCACCCCTCAGACTCTGAAGCTCCAGAGTAAAACGCCCCAGCCTATTCAGCCTCTCCCTACAGATCAAACTCTCTCGTCCCAGCAACATTATTGTAAATCTTTTCTGTATCGTCTCAAGTTGAACAACATCCTTCCTATAGAATGGTGACCAGATTTGTATGCAGTATTCTGAAAGTGGCCTCACCAATGTACTGTACAGCTGCAACATGAGGTCCCCACTTCTAAATTCAATGTTCTGACCAATGAAGGCAAGCATGCCAAATGTCTTCTTCACCACCCAGTCTACCTGCAACTTCACTTTCAAGGAACTATGTACCTGAACCCCTTGGTCTCTTTGTTCGGCAACACTCTCCAGGGCCATAACGTTAAGTCCTACCCTGATTTGCCAAAATGCACTCCTCACATTTGTCTAAATTAAACTCCATCTGCTACTCCTCAGCCCATTGGCCCATCTGATCAGGGTTCCATTCTACTCAGGTATAATCCTCTTCATCGACTACTGAACCTATTTGGATGTCATCTGCAAACTTACTAACCAGGCCTCCTATATTCATATCCAAAACATTTATATAAATGATGATCAACAGTGGACACAGCACTGATCCTTATGGCACAACGCTGGTCATAGGCCTCCAGTCCAAAAAGCAACCCTCTACCACCATTCTCTGTCCCCTACCTTCAAGCCAATTTTGTATCCGATTGGCTAGCTCCCCGGATCCCAAGTAACCTAACCTTACTAACCAGTCTACCACGCAGCCTTGATCTATCTTTGTGACTCTTCAAAAAACTCAATCAAGCTAGTGGCATGATTTTCCACATACAAAACCATGTTGATGCTCCCTAAATCAGTCTTGCCTTTCCTAGTGCATGTAAATCCTATTCCTCAGAATCCCCTCCAACAACTTAACCACCACTGACATAGGGCTCACCAGTCTATAAGGTTTTTCCTTACCACCTTTCTTAAATCATGGCACAACATTAGCCACCCTCTAGTTTTCTGACACCTCACCCATGGCTGTCAATGATACAAATAACTCCACAAGGGACCCAGAAATCTCTTTCCTATCTTCCAACAAAGTTCTAAGAAACACCTAATCAGGTCCCTGTCCATCAATTTTGAACCATTCCATTTCTTCTGCCATCCCCTCTTCAACTGATACGTTGTCAGTCCTCTTTTCATTTGTAAGTACTGATACACAGTACTCATTAAGAATTCTAGCCATACCCTGCACTACAAAGCAGATATTACCATTTTAATTATGTCTAATTGCAACCTCCTCACTTCTTATATACTATTTCCATGCCAGTAGAAGATTTTTGCTTCTCTTTCATGTGAACTACCTTTCATGTTCTCCCTTTGTCAGCCCTATCTTTTCGAAGCACTTTGGTTCCATGAATCTAAATTTTTCAGTTCTCATCACTTTTTATGTAACATTCTGGTACTGCCACTACATCATATTCTCACGTAGCTATTTATGTTTCTGGCTAATCTATCTTATTCACCACTTCGTGTGGTTACATACTTGTATTCCAAACCTGTCTTTATTTTTCTCAAAGTCATACACATCCTGTTTCCCAAAGTCGATATAAAATATGCTGCTAATCTAACCCAAAATACAATATCCTGCTCCCCAAATACGTCATATAATATCTTGCTACCCCGAAACCAACATATAATATCCTATTTCTAAACCCAACATACAATATCCTGCTCCCCAAACCCGACATACAATATTTTCCTCACAAAGCCAACATGCTTTAATATACAGTTCTCATCATTACTGTAATATAGGAAAATATGGCAGCTAATTTTGACACAGCAAGATCATGCAAACACTAAATGGTAAGGTACTGAGGAGTGTTGCTGACCATGGAGTGCAAGTTAATCCTTGAAAGCAGAGTTGCAGGTAGATAAGATAGTGAAGGAGGCATTTGGTATGCTATCCTTGCATTAAGTAAAGGAGTTGGAAGGTCATGTTGCAGCTGTACAGGACATTGGTTAGACCACTATTGGAATGCTGTGTGCAATTCTGGTCTCCCTGCTTTAGGAAGGATGTTGTGAAACTTGAAAGGGTTCACAAAAGATTTATAATAATGTTGCCAGGGTTAGAAGGTTTAAGCTGTAGGGAGAGGCTAATTAGACTGGGTTTATTTTCCCTGGAG